AGCAGACCCTGTTGTGCCTGATTCAGCGCAGAGATCGGTTGCGGCGTGAAAAACTGAAGTCTGTCCGGCTGAGCGGACAGGTAATTAGCAACTAGATTCGCAAAAGCCTTGTAGTCAAGTGACGGCGAGAGCCGCATTAGGATGCCCGGATCTGACTTGCGAAGCTTATCCACCAATAGTATTTCCACCTGAGAACAGACAATATAGCGGAGCTGGTAAATAACTAGGCATGCAGAGACGAAAGAGAGCATCACTGCAAGGGGAATAACAAAGGAAATAGGCAATGTAGTCGTTTGAGGTTTCTTTGTACGAAGGTATCACCAAGGCAGCCTTATTGGCTGATCCAGAATTTGGAAAGGTGGGAAAGAAAAAGACGAGGAGATGATGACGTTAGCAGGATTGACTCGTGACTCAGACTATTGCACCATTACCTACGATTAAGGATTTCCGACGGAATTCGAAACGTCAGGACAATAAAACTCTTGTTCCAGTGGCATTATCTCCTTCTTCAGGACTGATAGTGTTGCCCTCTGACTTTAAGTTTTCACGATAGAGCCTACTTTACTTTGGAACGGAACCTGAAGACAACGATGATGGAACACAGCAGGCTAGCCACTGACTTCATGCTCTCATTTGTATGCGAACCGTTTTAAGGCTTCAATGATAGGCGAAGTTTGGAGAGCTGATGAGTTGGAATGGAAATTACAAGGGTTAGGATGTTTAGTAGGCGGTTCCACATGAAGCAGAACAAACCATTAAACAAAAACAGGAGGCGGCAAAGCCGTATCAATATACACCAGGAATGAGTCGATCTTGCCTGATGAAAGGAGGCGGAGAAACTTGCCATCTGGCGCACGTTTTTCGAAAGAATACCGGCAGAAACTGGAATAGGCTATCTTGACTAGGCCCTAAATTTAAAGCCCTGTCGGCGGCTGCGATGGTGTGAAGTGTTACAGAAGGTAAGTTTACTACACTTTTGACTGAAAGCTTTAAGCGGCCAAAGAGTGCGGCTGATGTGCGCCGGCAGTAATGACAGCTGGTTGAGTTCCCGGATGTGGGTTCGCCGCGTCGACATTACGGTGAATTTAGCGCATATGACAGGTACATGCTACGACTCCAGGCACTGATTTACCGGCCTCATTGCGATCGAGTCCGCATTGTAGGTAGTGGACAGCAGGGCGTAGGAAGCATTCTCACGGGCAGAGCAAGTGGTGATGGCAGACCTCTTTGTGAGTTACAGTAGAGCAGGGTTCGGGCAAGCGAGGATCATAGCTCAAACTAGCCGTCTCGGGTGTTCCTAAAGGTAACTTCGTCCCACAGACACGATGCCTGCAAACTTCGATTCTGTTCCGTAATCAACCGTAAAAGGACGCCTATCAACCCCGTATTGAGGAAGAATAAACCCTATAGGAGACAGCATAACTAAGGATGCGCAATTGCATTTTGGTCACACAGTAAGAGTACACTCCCGCTGAACACTGATAATATAGCACGGCGTGCGCAAACTGACCGACCGAAGGCGATCCTGCTAGGACCTAGCAAAGCTATTAGAAAGGGCACTTACTGCCCTCAACCGAATAGAGCTGTGACGATATTCGCTAAGGAACCATTCGGTGTATAGTAAAGCCACAAGCGGCAATGAGTGGGTGATAGTGTTGCTAATACAACACATTTTTTCAGTTGCTGCACACGTCACTTCTGGGTACACATGGATGGGTTCCACCGCAACTGCAACAACAAACCTTCTCTATGGCTGTGAAATAATTTTGCCGCCTGTTACCAAAATCAGAGTTAAAAACAAGTGCCTTTACAGGCACAGAAGGGTGGCTGAAAACGGATTTACAGCTGAGGCATGTTCCGTAACCAGATCAGCGAGCATCCTACTAGTATCAGACAGTTGTTGTAGGGACTTGGGAGGACATTTCGGCGTGTGGCATAATGAGTTAGGCCTACAGGAGATAAGGCGATGTCGTAACCAGAGACAGAAGCTTAATTAACGTTAGACCAAAGGACCTTACCAGCAGTCTTTAGGGCTGTTTTTGCCTCGCAATAAATGAAAGAACAAATAAAACAGACTGATGTTTGGCCTGGCAGAGGCTTTACAGGCCAAATTTTATGCTGCGGCGAGTTTTAGGACAGGAACACTACTTTCACTGATAATTTCACTCTTATGGTTTCACTGATCTGGACAACTTATACTTGATACGGTTGTGAACAGGCCTGGTCTAGCCGGCCTCAATGATGTCACGGATGGTACTTCTTTACACCTGACGATTAGCGGAACTGGAGAACTCCACTCATTATCTTCTCCAGGGAAGGAGAGTTTTCTGCACTGTTCAATTCGATTGAACAAAACGCGCTCAAGACAGTTATGAGAGTTGAAGATGTACCCACAAAAATCATGGAATTCAGTAAGATTTTACTAACTTACTTGAATGAGTAGTAAAAGCGCATTTTGAAAAAAAAGGGATTTTTTTTCAAACTCAATAATGACGTCTCATGAGAGTACGACCTGTTAAACCATGAAATGAATTTCTTCCCAATCGAGACTCTACCTACATTATAAAATTCGGGGTTCGAATCCTAAGTTATTTTGTTATCTTTGACCGTTCACTCTTGAGCTTTTTGGACCCCATAATTTATCTTATTTTTGCTCTCCGTGAA